ATGATTTCCTTTAATAGCAACAATAGAGAATGAAGTTCAAATAACTAAAGTAAAGCAATCCTTAAACAAACGGGAGTCTAAGTGTAATTCCATCCACCAGCCTGAACAAAGGGATGTAGCAGATACCAGCCAGCTCAGACAAGGGACACTGGCATTTTGGTGGATCTACTGCTACTGTAAACAGACTTACCTGAATGTACACAACGTCTACTGTTCTCATGAAACTTTAAGGCCAAACTACAACCTGTGAAATCTTGGTCTATGACAAATACATCAAGTAGAGAGAGAATTTTCTACATCAGTGTATTTATCTCAGCCTTTGAGAGCGAGAGACAGTGGCTAGGGTTAGTCCCACTGCCTGTAGTCTGATCAACACTCATCGAGGAGCACTTGGTGTGACTGCAATCAACACTAGAGCTGTAAATGAGCCATGTTTTACAAGCATATCCCTGTGATATTACCAATTATGTTTCACGCCCCCTTCAGTAAATCTGTTGTGTGGTAATTGGGTTGCTGGGAAACAGACGCTGCTGTAAACACAAGTTTTTTTCAAATGGAGCCTCCAAGCTGGATAATAGTTTCTAGAACAAAATATGGTCATAAATACCCCATGAAACAACGCCACCAGTCTCAACCAATGGACATTATGAGAATAGAACTAATAGAAGCTTGTTAGCTAATTAAATGTGACATGGTCTCTATTGCACACTACCTCCTTTAAACCAGCAAAGTGGTAGGTTGACCCTGATTGTTAGAAGGCTTATTCTCAGGACAATGGACGCTCCTCTTTGCAGCAGTAGTGTCACTGTGCAGGGAAGTGAGTCACCTACTATATTTCTTCCACTTAAGCTTTTTACTTAAGCCACATATTCAACAATACAATTCAGCCTATAGGCACCCGGCCAACAGATGGATTCATATCTAATAGTGTAAACCTTTATTTTACCTCCAAAGACCATTGAGGTGGTATCCTCATTTACAATGGTGTCGGGGAAAAAAAGGAGCTGTCTAGACAATATGCTCCTAAGGAAGGTGCCTAAGAATTCACTGATGACAGGGGTTAATTAAAGAGGACACAGAACTCTGATGTGTAAGATATAACGGCCCCTCTCTGCTGGACTCTATGCATACTGCATCCTGAGAGATATAACTATATTTAGCCCCCCCCCCCAACAAACTCTCTCAGAGGAAAGGGATTTCTTTAGTCTTATAGACTGGTGCCTTTGGGTGTGACTCAGCTTTCCAAAATTATCAACACCCCAGATTGTTGAAGATAAATTATTCTCACGGAGATTTAGCTTTATCATTCCTCTGTAAATTAAGCAAGACTAAAGGGAGGCAGAAAAAAGCAAGCACCAAAAATAATCTCCTTTTACTCTTGTTGCAACAACTGCATTTGCTGACTGATTGGGAGCAAATCAACATAACCACCGAGCCACTGATTCAAAGTCAATATGAAGAACACTCTGGTGCTCCTGAAACCTCTGTACAGGCAGCCAACAAATGACTGATTAAGCCCTAATTGCTCTGGAGTATTTTTAGAGAAAAAAAAAAAGAGTCAATAGCTGCTTCATTAATGTTAATCAATGACAATGACAACGAGGACAACGTTTCCATCTGTTATCAGGGTAAACTAACCTACAATACACCAGAATATTCCTCTAAAAGTCTTATTTGGCACAGAATCATAGGAGTTAGTAAACATGTGCTAAATCCAGGAATTCCCAGATGGCTTCATTATCACATGAGATAAGTGAGAATGTCGACAGGGGTGATGGACCTCACCTGTTCAGAGCACTTTCCATTGGGGGCACTGCACTGCTGGTCATTCTCAGTGGATGAGAAGCTCGACATCTCCCAGGGTAGTTTGTTCTTCCCTTTACCCGCGCTGACAATCCTCCTTTGAAGTGGAAGGTCATCAGTGAGGGAGCCTAAGCTGCCATACCCGTGCAATCGGTCGCAATCTGGTTCAGTTCTGTGGCTCCTGGCACTGCTTATCCGCCCTCCGTTCATCACCCAGTCCAGATCAGCTCCAGAACCATTCTGCTGGGAGCACCGCTGTCCTGGTTTGGGCAGCACCAAGCCATACTCCACTATCCCCTCTGAGGAGAGTTTCGGCAGGATGTGCCTTGCCCGTCTTGCCTGTACAGCTGCCATAAGACCCTCTGCATCCTCATTGAGTTCAACCATGTCCACAGCTTTCATTAAAGGCTGCTTTTTCCCTGTGTCAAGGCAATAGTCAAAAACAGCAAACAGCTCAAGCGTGGCAAGGCGGACCTTCCTTTTGCTGTCTGCCAGGTATGGTGCAACCTCAAAACAAAGCTTGGGGATGTTGAAATCTTTCCTAGGATGAGTGAGCATAGCTGCCATAATGATGTTAAGGACATCTTCTCGAACCCTTGAATTCTTGTGTTTCAGGTTCCCAATGACAAGGTCCAATATGTGTTGCGGTGCAACAGTTTTCATCAGCTGTTGAAACACATCCATGTATTCATTTCTGGTGACGGTGCGAGTGTCCCCTAGGGCCTTCAGAGCCACTAGGACTATCTGTTTGAAATATTTGTCTACACCTGTATCTAGCTTCTGAATGAGTAAGTTTAAAACTTGTAAGGTGCCATACAATACTTTAAAATTACTGTCATCGAGCAGTTGTGGGAGAAAATTGATGAACTCCTCAATACTGCCCGACGGGACTGATTTCATATCCACTTCTGAGAGGATGTGTTTGAGCTCTTCCACCCCATTTTGGCGATTTTGGTAATTCTTCAGGTCCAGAAGCTGCGCATGTAACTCCTGGGAGATCAATCCAGGTATCATCATTGATGTTTTTATGGATGTGGTCAAATTTGAGAATCCAAAGAGGCAATCACAATCCTGTGAGGACAATAATATTCCTCCTCTTTACTTCGTGCTTTCATCCTGAGTGGTTGGTGATGGAAAACCACTCTCCTGTTCGTCAAGCTGTGAATGCGAAAGAGAGAAAATGAACATGAGCAGACACAGAACAGAATAAATTCCCATTTGTTTATAGTGAAATGAACGCGGGGGGGGGGGCAGCCTGGTGATAATGTATATAAATATGTTACAACACAGATCCGTAACTGTACATATTATAACTGAGGGAGAGTCCTATTGCTCTTCAACATCACCACCATGAACTAACAGTTAGATAAGAGCGAATGGACACAACCACTTGTGGCTGTCAGACACGGTAGTTATCAGCAATAAACCTTAACTGCACTGTACGACAGGCTATTTTCTCTGCTATTGTAACATTAGTTACTATGACCTGTGTCAACTGGACCCGTAGCCAGTTATACGATACTAAGTAATGCCTTCAATGGGCTTACAATCAATCCCTGACTACGTTACCGTTAAGCAGCCTACATGAGTTAACGTAACTAGCTAACGTTAACTAACGTTATAACGTTACAGAGCTAACTGCTCAAACGGTGCTAGGCTAACTCGCTACTCCGCTAATTGTGTTGGTGGTAAAGTGCTGGCTGACTGGGCTAGCAAAGTTAGAAAAACAGCAAGAAAATAGACCTTGCATTTCCCCTGGTCCTCTTCGGTGACGCTCGACGAGACTATCTAATGTTACGTCGTCCAAATGTCCATGTCACGCTGCGGCAGCTACAGCTCTCTAAGTGCAGACATTTTCCCTGGTTGTTTTAGTTGGTATCTGGAGTGTTGAATGTTTGGAAGCTACAGAGGTATTCTCATAGAGAGGAGCCCTCTCCCCCTCTCTCTCTCTCTCTCTCTCTCTCTCTCTCTCTCTCTCTCTCTCTTACACTCACACACACACCGAGCGAGGCAGCAAAATGGCGAATACATGTCGCAAACTGAGCGCTTCCATGGTGACGCGAGTTCGAGGCTCTTGAGGCGGTATCATCGCTACAGAGCTGCAGCGCACACTGTGATGGAAAGTGAAGCTAACAGAGACGATTCAATAATAATAATACAAAATAATAGAAAGTAAATGAATACAAAAGGACCTAAACAACGTGCAACTTGCATATCGTAGTGTTGCATTCGTGCACTTTTATTATCTGGTTCAGAACTGCTCACAATAAACATTACTTAAAATGTTTGTACTTAAAAATGTTTTTGTTGTTTGTAGATATGTCATAAAAAGTATATTCTTTTCAAATATATTTTTATATATAGCATATTCTATTAGGCATCCACATATCCACAGTTTTACAAACAGAAAAACAAAAAACAACTGGCAGAATGATGATTTACAAAATTATGATTTGCACTCGTTTCATGGGACAGAAATGAGGCTCATACATTTACTATAATATAGTTATTCATACTAAAGATAAGTAACATATTATATATATTCAAGTACTGTACTTAAGCACAGTACTTAATGTGTTTTATTTAATTTAAATACATGCAACTTTATACACAATATTCCACTGATAATATTTCAGATGTCTGTACATTTTTGACAGCTATAATTATTTGTACATTTGCAAATTAAGTTTTTAAATAAAACCCCATGATGAGCTTGTCATGGACTAAAATACCCAACAGCCTCAATAATAATTTAATACAATAACACTGATATAATTGGTCAGTAACTCTCTTACACTAACACACAATAACAATCCACACATGGATATGTTAGTATTATATTAAGACACATAAAAACAAGTCCTAACTTTTCCTTTTAAGTTTATTTTGCTGATAATATCTAGTTTTTTTTTTACTGAAGTTGTTAAAAGATATATATATATATATATATATATATATATATATATATATAACGTTACTATTTTAAGAATATTTGGGGTCATACGATACACCCACTAATACTGCGGGTTGTATTATTATTTAAAAAGGTCTGTAGAATAATGTTTTTATTTCCTCTAAACATATTAGTAAAGTTCACTAACATTGACGTCGCTCTTCCTTTTACATGGCTGTGAATGTCGTTTTATTTTGAAACCAGCGGAAGTGGGTTTGCTGCTCTCATAGCTCGTTAGTATAAGAGCTCATCTGTAGCTTTGTGGCTAGGTTGGCAGTAGGTTGTTTTCCTGATAGCCGCCCGGGGTTCCCTCTCGTCGCCGCTGCTGAACTCCGCCACTGCAAAATCGGTCATTACAGCGGCACACCAGACGGACTATAGGTTACAGGTTTGTTTGCCTTCATTTGACGACATACTAATGTTATCTGACAGCAGGCTATAACGTCACGCTTTGTATCTGTCAGCCATGTTACTGTATATCAATCAATGATGCAGCTAGCCACAGTAACCGTGTTTATTTTTAGCAGCTAACCTTCGCTGACTGCAGTGCAATGGAACAGAGATATAGGCACTGAGTATTTGCTGGAGCCGAACATTGTTGACGATACAACAGTGACATGAATGTCGATGTTCATATAAATGTGAATATCCGTGGAGAAACGTGTCTCTTTGCAAATCCAAGCTGTTTTTTTTGGTTTTTTTTACAGTGTGTTAGCTAGCGCACTAGCTGTCTGCTGATGTAAAGCTAAGAGGTAGCTACTGATTTTGATTTGGCCATGTCCTCCGTTCACAAATTAAACCAAGGCCCCAGTCAACAAACTATCAGTCAGCGTTAGTGTGGCTGACTGCCATAAAACGTAAATGCACAGCAGCATATCGGCAGTTGTCTTGAGGTTAAACTGTAAATGTGTAAGCTTCCTGGCCAGTGCGGTAGGTTAACGTTAAGCAGCGTTAGCACTGGATTAAGATCATGCTCTTTAACGCTAACAGCGGGTCGGAAAAACTACTGCATAACTTCAAAACACCCCTGAATGCATCACACTGCACAGGCATGTTTCCTTAACGCGTGCTGTAATTACGTCATGTTGCACAGGCCTATGTTTAGTTGGCTTTCCAGGCTTGTAGTCTCAGGGACAATATGACAACTGGATGATTTCCAGTATTTCCAGTGTTTCCATTGGTTGTTGGTCACATGTCAGTTAATCAGAAACATTTCACTGACTCAGTAGCCTTTGCAAAATGTCAACACTGCACTGATATTCATATTCTTGCTCTCAGATGGACCAGCAGGACCAGTCCTATATGTTTGCCAGTCTGAAACGACCTCACTCAGAGCAGCTGCTGCAAGGCCTCCAGCTCTTGCGGCAGGATCACGAACTATGTGACATTGTCCTGCGTGTGGGTGATTCCAAGATCCATGCCCACAAAGTAGTGCTGGCGAGCATCAGCCCTTACTTCAAGGCCATGTTCACGGGTAACCTGTCAGAAAAGGAGACCTCTGAGGTTGAATTCCAGTGCATCGATGAGACCGCCTTGCAGGTAAGCTTGGGGCCAGCAGACACCTTATTAACTGCTGTACCATAGCTACTGTTTATGTGACGCTTTTACTCTTTCTCCTCTAGGCCATCGTTGAGTATGCCTACACTGGCACGGTGTTTATCTCCCAGGAAACAGTGGAATCTCTGCTACCAGCTGCTAACTTACTCCAGGTTAAGCTAGTACTTAAGGAGTGTTGCTCCTTCTTAGAGAGCCAGCTGGATGCTGGGAACTGTATAGGTATCTCCCGCTTTGCAGAGACATACGGCTGTCATGACCTGTGCCTGGCTGCAACTAAGTTCATCTGTGAGAACTTTGAGGAGGTTTGTCAGACGGAGGAGTTTTTTGAACTGACGAGGGCCGAGTTGGATGAAATTGTGTCCAATGACTGCCTTAAGGTGGTCACGGAGGAGACTGTATTTTACGCCCTGGAATCGTGGATCAAATATGATGTAACTGAGAGACAGCAGCATCTGGCCCAGCTGCTGCACTGTGTTCGCCTTCCGCTCCTCAGCGTCAAATTTCTCACCCGCCTATATGAAGCCAACCACCTTATACGAGATGACCACGCATGCAAGCACCTGCTCAACGAGGCCCTTAAATATCATTTTATGCCTGAGCACCGACTCTCCTATCAGACTGTGTTGTCGGCGCGGCCCAGGTGTGCCCCAAAGGTGCTGCTTGCAGTAGGAGGCAAGGCTGGACTGTTTGCAACTTTAGAAAGGTAACGATAATAATGTCTAGATAAGAATTATAAACGCCATTGGAAAAGGGAACTTTCCAAACATCTGTAGTTTGTCCCTAAAAGCAAACTTAACTAATCGGATAATATCTTTCTCTTTCAGCATGGAAATGTATTTCCCTCAGACAGATTCGTGGATAGGACTGGCCCCTCTCAGTGTACCCCGATATGAATTTGGAGTGGCAGTGCTGGACCACAAGGTGTATGTGGTCGGAGGCATCGCCACACATATGAGACAGGGCATTAGCTACCGGAGACATGAGAGCACAGTGGAGAGCTGGGACCCCGAGAGCAACACCTGGTCCTCGGTGGAGCGTATGGCAGAGTGCCGTAGCACCCTTGGGGTGGTGGTCCTGGCTGGCGAGCTTTACGCCCTCGGAGGCTACGACGGCCAGTATTACCTCCAGTCGGTGGAGAAATATGTCCCCAAGCTGAAGGAGTGGCAGCCTGTGGCACCCATGACAAAGTCCCGCAGCTGCTTTGCCACTGCTGTGCTGGATGGTATGGTGTACGCTATCGGAGGCTACGGCCCAGCCCATATGAACAGGTACTACCACCGAATGGATAATATGTTATTGTGATGTGTTATGTGCTTTTAAAAAGTAGGAATCGGGCATTTTGAGTAACTTGTGTGCTAATTTGCCTAACTCACAAATTAACTTCTATGAAAGTCTTAAAACTAAACAATCTGAAACTTCCTCTTTGTGCATATAAATTGTGAATAGCAAAACATTCATTCATCCCCTATACAATTTGGACCATGCCAGCTTTAATGGGTAGGATACATGAAGATTAATAGCTTTACCATGTTCAGTATACTACCCTATACCTCTTCTCCTTCAACTGTAACTTCTATGGAAGTTTCTGTATGATGTGAAAAATGGGATGAAAACATGAAATGAACCTTCCTTTGTTCCTACAGATGACCTTTGACATCAGTAATATATGGTTGTGGTGCTCTATCAAATTTGTTTTCTATTTTTATTAATTTCTTTTAGAATAGTCTTTGAGCTTCTAACTCTCTCAGACCTCCTAACCTGGCTTTCTCTCTCAAGGTCTTGTTAGTTATTTAATAGAACTGGCAATCAAGTGAAGGATGTCAAGTGTTGCTGATAAAATGGCCAGGGCCCTGTTAATGAGTGAAGAGGAGTCATAACAGAAGTGGCTGCTGAAGTTTCATAGAGTGTGCCCGGCTGTGTGCTGCTGGTTAGACCTCTGTTGTTGCCGTGGATCTCTAGAGAGCAGTGTTTCTGTTGCTTGTTTCCTTGACTCCTGAAACCCCTCAGGAGAATGTGTTTGGACAGAGAATCTTTGGGGACTATTTTTTTTTTTTTTTTTTTTTCCCCCAGTGGCTTATATGTCCTTGCATACTGCAAAACATCCTAGATTGCCAGTGTTCCAGTCACTATCTGGGGGCTCATTTGACTGAACTGTTCGTTTGGTCTAGTGGGTGATAAGACCACCTGAACTGTTTATAGCCTGGAAATATGATTTTAAATATGAGTCCAGTGAAGAACTACATTTGTAAATGAAATCTGCATGTGAAGTAGATTCCTCACCCCTGACATGCATCTTTTAAAGAAGTATGTAGGTTTGTATACTTAACAATACTTTTCCAAAGTATATAGTATGAAAATCCATGTGTAGAGTTTCTTGAAACATACTTACAGCAGCAGATCATTATAGCATTCATTTGGGGGTCTGTTGAGGAATTGCAGAGGGCTGGAAGATTAGATAAATTTACATTTGGACTTTTTAACCATTGTGTGTTTCGTTGTGCTGCACACAGTGTGGAGCGATACGACCCCAGCAAGGATGCCTGGGAAATGGTAGCCCCCATGGCAGATAAGAGGATCAACTTTGGAGTAGGCGTCATGCTCGGCTTCATATTTGTGGTGGGTGGACACAATGGAGTGTCGCACCTGTCCAGCATTGAGCGGTATGATCCACATCAGAACCAGTGGACAGCCTGTCGGCCAATGAATGAACCACGCACTGGTGAGTTTCCTGCTTGTTTTAGCTGAAGCCCCAATTTCTAGTTTAGATTTGCGTGTAATGGATTGCACATGACTGTGACATTGTCTTTCAGGTGTGGGCTCTGCCATTGTGGACAACTACCTCTATGTAGTGGGAGGTCACTCAGGGTCATCTTACCTGAACACTGTCCAGCGCTATGACCCCATCTCAGACAGCTGGTTGGACTCGAGTGGCATGATGTATTGCCGTTGCAATTTTGGTCTGACTGCCCTTTGACCCATGGCCCAGCCAGCTAGGACCCACTAAGAGAACTCAGACACAAAGACGTTTCTTTTTTGTTGTCTCCTCCTCCTTCCCCACATTCATCCTCCAGGTGCAGAGGAGCGCTGCACACCAATGTGAACACCAGAGGAGAGAGAGCCTGCTGGGTGGATGGATGTGCTGGGCTAGCTGGCTGGCTAGAGGGGGACCACAGGCATGGCTGCAGAGACGGGGGAAAGAGCTGCAAAGCTTCATGAAAAAGAGGAAGATGATTGGACGGCTGTTGTCACGGGCACGAGGAGACAACTGCTCTACTGCTGCTGGACCACAATGAGGTCTCTGAGCCATTTCCCAGAGGATTGTGGGAGAAAACTTGTCACTTTTGTTTTTGTTAGCAGACATTGCTGTTTGTTTTCCTTCATGCCATTAATTGTGTTTAACACTTAAATCTTTTTTCTTTTCTTTTTTTCTGCTGTAACTGGAACCGTGTGTTCAGGTTTTGTAGAACACAGCAGTTTGCCAGTGTATTTGTATGAGTATGTGGTTGTTGGCCATGTAGTGTGTATGTCCGTGTGTATGCTCGAGGGGTACATGCATGTCAGATAGGGTTGTTTGTTTTGTTACGTGTCTGCGTGCAGAACTGATGCCTGGGCTCAGCGACGCAGGAGTTCTGCATCAAAATCAGTGCTTCACAAAAAAGAGAAAAGTTGGAATCTTTATATTTTCTCAAAAAGGGCTGCCTTTTTCTCTCGTGTAAATAGACTAAAAGAAATATATAGATATGAATATATCCTCTAGTGCATTGCCTGTAAATGTTTTTCTGCACTGGGTCACTAGTGTGTGTGCGTGGATGAGTGTGTGTTTGTGTGTTTGTGCGAATGTGTGTGTAGTTTTATTCCATGGGTCAGCGTCGAGGTGAATGATGAATTCTCCTGAGAGTGTTTGCCACTAGTCTCTGCTTCATCCTTGGAGCCATTTAAAAAAACAAAACAAAAAAAAAACAACAACCCATGTTTTAGCTTCTGTTACATCTTCCTAGGGTCAGGTCATGAACTCGCTACTCTTCACAATAGTTGAAATCGACCTTGGCCCTCTTTTCACCCTTTGGTCTGTACACAATACCAACTGGTGCTATATTTAGGATTCAGGATTCAGCTGTTTGTCTGTGTTGCCTCACATAATTAGGTCAACCTCTGTTCAGCCGCTGCTACACTACGGCGTTAGATGTTATTTGATTTAATGTGCATTTAAATGTGTAAAATTTAATGGCCCCCCAACCATGCAATAAAACAGTCCTGCTGAAAGGGAAGCCCGTGGTTGGACAACTGCAAACTTCAGTTTGAAAATTAACACTAGTTCAGTTTAAAAAAAACAAAAAAAAAAAAACTTGTTTTAATTTAAATGATATCCTTGTTAGCGTTCCCCGTCCCTCAGTGTTCCTGTTGCAGGATACGAGCATGCTTTGTTATTGTCTCAATGCCTGTACAATGTCACTCTTTAGCTATGAACAAGACTTTTTCTGCCTGGGATTGGGTTTGACATCTGCTCTTTGCACTCGCCAACTCGCCACCAAACATGTGATCCTCATGTGGCCAAGGTCTTGCTTGCAAGCTCAAGTTCGAGATAATCCGTTCAGCTTCATGTGAAGTGCCAAAACGTTACCTTTTTATTTCTCCCATCTTTTCCCACCTCCAGTTCTAGTACCAGCTTCCTTCATGTGCCACAATTTTTAAACATGTTCTCCTCGTTCTTATTGCTAATGTATTAGCATGACACTCTTCCATGCTGTCATATGGAAATGGATGATAAAGCACCAAGGGCTGTGCCCAGACCATGTTGCCACTTTCACCAGTATCATGTCCTGATAGAGACCAGCGTGTTCCCCTGGGTTTGTCTGACTCCAGGCTGGCTGAGGGTGTCACTCTCTGCAGCCTTGGGCTAGGCTAACAAACAGGTCAAGCAATGCACAGCAATAGTGGGGGCAATAGGCAAGAAAAAGTTAGGTGTGTCTTGTTGAGTCACTGTTCAAGTCTAGTTTGAGTTGCTTTGTGCACTGACGTTTGCACATAAGTGGAAACTTTAACCAAGCTCTGCATTGCACTTACCAAACTATTTGATACATATTGTAATTTGTACATATGTTTTAATTTAGGATAATGGCATTTAGAAAATGCAATAAAACTTCTGTTTTGTGTTTGTCTCTTTTAAAAAAAAAAAAAAAAAAAAGCCAAGGCATCTCATATTGCTGTAACAGAACCCCACATCGCATGTCAGTTGATTCACAATGTTGGCTGGTAATGTGGACTTCTAACGAAACATCAAATGGTACCATTGACTTTGACTCATCCTACCAGACATCTTGTGTTCTCATTTTGTCATACATGCTGGTTCTTTTTTACAAGGCTTTTGTTTATTTAGGCAGTTTTAGAGGGATTGCTCACAGTGTAGTGGCCAAATTTGATGTAAACACCTCCTTTTTCTTTTTTCTTAAAAGAAAAGAAAAGAAAAAAAAAGTGAACAGAAATAACATCAGCCGTTTTGACCACAAGGTCTTGTAAACCCTAGACAGGACATGTGCTCTTCCACTGACTACCATTGTACTCTAAACTTGATGTGTGTTTGTAAAAAGATTGTGGTTACTGTTACTACAGAGGAGAACTTTAATGACACTTGCCTTGCTTGGTCAGGGTGTCACTGGTGAGACATTTAGTTTGTTGCAGATTGTTATACATCACTATATGAAGTACTTTCCATTTTTCTGGGTTGTTTTTGGAAGTTACGAAAAAGCAACACAGGCGTATTTCTGCAAATTGTCATTTTATTTTAGAAAGATGTGAATGACTTTTTTTGTATTTATAATTATAATTTGTATTGTTTATGTTGTGTAACCTGATTTGCTAATTCTGTCTATTGTACTAGATTTTGTTCGTCACTAAACAGCCACAGCACAAATCACGCAGGCGTAATTATGTGCTGCCGCCATGATTCATCTACCATCACTGTTGTGTATAATGTCATGATTTCTGATGTGTATATTAACTACTATTTTAATGAATTTTGGAGAGACGCTGATGAAAATCTGCAAACGTGAATCTGCAAAAAGAAGGGATGTTAAAATTGAGTTTGTACGCATTTTTATTATGGCCTAACCAATGTCATGTTTTTGCCACCACTCTCACCAAAGTGCTTGTTCAAAGAAAGCAGATGGATGACTAACACCTGGTCTGCAATGGACTGCCACTCTAATGTTTGTGTCTGAAAGAAGAAATCCTTTGAAACTGATGTCAATGTTAGCCAAATGACCACTCTGCTTCTTTTACATTTCCCATTGTGTGTCTGGAGTAAGGTGATGATCTTGAATTTTATATCCTGTGGATTAATACTGGAAGTACAAGATAACCTTAGGTGTAGAAACAGTAGCTTTTCACATTTTATCATGTTTTGATTGAAGACATTTTACATACATTTTAGTCAGTTTGTGTGGTGCAGTTGTACCCAGTTTAAAATAAATGCCTGCCTTAAAAGGTACTGTGTGCTTTATGTGGCTTTTGTTACACCCATCCATGCAATGCACAAGCACGACAGAATAAATCAATACAAGTGTACTTCAAAATATTTGTATTTGCATTTTAAAGAGTCTCAGCATAGAAAAACAGCAATTGAAAACTAATGACTATTTAAAAAATAACATGTAAATACATACATATTCCCTGTGTTGATGACTGCAGTGTGTGCTGAGCTAGCGTGTTTAAATGCTTGAATTTAATTAATTAATATGGACATGCTGCTGGCTTAGTGTCCTGGAAGCCAAACAGGTCATATTTAAGCTTGTAGAGACAGAAGAGTTCAGACTGCCCTCAACCTTTGAACATTTACTCATTGTATTCAATTTTTGCCTCCAATAGACATTAACCTGACATAAACCTTGGCCTTGTTTAGTTGTTTCTGAGCCTCAGACCACAGTGTAAATAGAAAAGCACCAGTTTAATTGTAGGAAAGGGCTGATATGCATAAATGTAAAATTAAACTGCCAAAATGGCTCACTTTGATGGGAATGCGGTATACAGTCAGTGTCATCTCCTATACAAATACACCCTCACAGTGTAATCCTGTTAACAAGCATGCTAACTGTATATGCATACGATGTGCGTTAGTCACTGATATTGTCATTTATGCATATCAGCCCAGAACTATTATAGTCCATTATATTCTTGGATTCCAAGCAAGCCCCAGAAGAAGTCATTTCCATCTAACAGATTAAGCTTTCTGCAAGTTCAGGCGATTGAGAGGAAGGAACAGCTGATTGGAAATCGATTAATGAAACATGATTACAGTAATGTAATTCCATCAATGGGGTCATGACAGAATAACTTTAGGAAATGCTTTGACTCTTGAGCTTGGTCCGGCTCATCTGCGTGTCTGCTTGAGATAAGAGTTCACTTGTCGGAGGCACGGATGTAGACCAGAGAGGACAGCAGAAGGAGCTCCGGTGGCTTGTGTAACAGGATCAGATTGTCACTCCTCAGACCATCGTAGTGCATCCAGCAGCCGTCTATTTGGAAGGCTGCAGAGTAGTGATGCTCTTCCTTGTTGAAGAGTGTGGCGCCCTCCAGTGAGTACCTGTGGACAAAAGAGATATTAATACCATTGTCTTTATAGTGCCCAGGAAACATATGGAGTGTAAATAATAGTGGATAAAAACACATTTTCCATTTGATCTGGGACAAAGAGAGGCAGAAGTCAATTAAATCAGAAAGTGAAAGCGAATGAAACACGTGTAAATATTTGTAAATTGAAAAATAAAATAGAATAAAGTAGTTCAATGACAGCTTTTTTGCAAATATTCAGTGCTAGATGTCAGAGGTTGGAACAAGTATTAGTTTAATTCTACTAAAGCATGGTGCTGTATACAGAGCCAATGGAAACACACTGTGGAGGCTCCATACCTGTGCTGGCAGAGAGCCAGATGGTAAGGAACATAGGATAGTTCCTCTGACTTCCACTGCTGCATGTTGAGAATGACAAAGGGTGGGGGGCCATGGCAGAAGACCCTCTGAGAGAACTCCCTCAGACCATCACACCTGTAAAAATAAATAAATATATATATTTACAAATCAATTTGTCAAAGAAGCAGATTAAGACTGAAGAACATTCGATGATGACATCCTGCCTATGTCTCACCCCAGTTGTGAGCAGAGTAGGAGCTTGGGGCAGAAGAACTCGTCCACGGCCGACTGAATGGGGTCTCTGTGAGGCAGCTCATGAGGAGGGCTGGAGGGAAAATGTGAGAGTGGAATTATAAGAAATGGAAATCGCGTACACCACCCAACAACACTCCGTTAACTAGAACTGACCTACTTTGTGAGAGGAAAACACCTTATTAAGACAATTAAGCTTGTACACTGTACACTCACTGAACATGTGGATTAACATCACTACACATAAAACTCAACATGTTCTTAGTTTGAAGATGCAGCATCTTGTAATGTGTGTAAGGCCAACATTAAGAGGGGTGTGCATCGTACAGTGCTACTAATTTTTAATCATCTGTGAAAACATGGATCGGTGCATCTCTGATCTAGTGGCAGTGCAAGATGTAGTCTAGTCTGATCTAGTGCTAAGTGTCTGACGAGGGCTCCCCTACTGGGACAACGTCGATGAGGAAATTTGATATTTCTAACACTTGATAAAGACAGCTGTTGGTGCAACCCTGTCACAAGTCCTGAAGGACAGACTCTCTGCTAAAGTTCACGGGGTGAAACAGGGAAAAGTTGCATCAAGTTCATATTGTAGCATCAGGATAGTTCACGGCCGGCGTGCAGTATACCTGATGTTGATTGTAGTCTTTATGAACTCCTGGAAGCGGGCCGGGCAACTCCAGTTGGTGCACAGGCTCTCCTGCATTGTGGACATGAGGTTCTCCAGGTTCTCTGTGAAGTTCTCGTGCTCGTTGCCAAACAGGTCAATCTCCAGGGCTGCCTGGTGGATCTCAGAGCGGTACTGTCGCTTAGACATCCTGTTCCAGATCCACAGCATCTTCACTGTGGTGTAGTCGCAGGAGTCCATCAGGTAAAGGAAATGCTCCACAAACTGTTTGCCCAGGAAGAATGCCAGCTCCCTGGGAACTCCCTGGTTGTCCCGCAGGATCACATACAGGATCATGAGGAAGCCATCGATGGTGCAGGTGTTTTTAAGTTTGATTTTGACGTACAGAGGGGTGCACGATATAGCCTTGCGTCCTGCCTTAATGGTGAAGACGCCGCCCCAGGGGAGCACGGGCCTCCAGAAGGAGCGGTCCTCTTCATCATTGTTGTTGATGGAGGCACGGATTTCTTCAAACAGTGTCTTAGACCTGGAGAGACATAACGTTACGCTTATGAGACGGAGGTGGCTTGAATGTGGGTGAAGTTCAGTCTGCTGCCCTGATGAATTCTGAAATGTATAGTTCTGAGAGACTGTCGCTTTAACACTGACGTTTACTCAGGCTATGCAAATAGATGCTAACTAGCCATCTACTTACAATAACAAAACAAGCCACGCAATGACGAACAACGTCCACTTATCCTCCAGTTAGTAGACAGAGCCTTAAAGCCTGCTAGCTCAATCATTAGCAGCTACTATGAACTTACCTTTCGAAGTGGAGATTGTTCTGAGTGTTTGAAATCAGCGTTTGGAGGTCCTCGGTGTCGCTCAAAACACAGAATTTACTCTCCATACTTCTCTGTGTTTCTTCATGTCTTTCATCGGACTTGAAGCCTGATTTTTTATTTTTTTTTACAGTATTTTCTAGCACTCTCTGGTCAATATCTGTAAGATGACACTTTAGCAAGCAGCGGAACAATCTCGATCAATCGTGAAGTCGGGCCCATAGAAACACTGCTGTGTTATTTCAGACGGCTGATCTGACGGTTGTGTAAATACGCTGCTGCCCTCTGCTGATTCTTGGCGTAATTGCGTCACGTGAAGTCCCGCCCACTACCCCGCCCACTCGTGGGTGGCATCGCAGATGTGGGAATGCTATTGGTTCATTACGTTCTACCAACGTGTTAGCACAGGTTTGTGATTGGCTGTCAGAGTAGACGTTCTGTTAATAGCCCCGCCTTTCTCCGTCGTCATGCCCACTCGCGAGGCTACGCTCTACGTTCGACGCTATTCCTGAAAGTTAACACGCTGATGTTTCAGCGCTGGTGCTGCGTTGTCAATGAAGCCTGCGTAACTACCTTCGAACTACCTTCGACTCCGACGCTTTTTCACTTAACTTAAGTTTTTGGTGAGACTCACCGCGCTCCTCTTCTTGTCAGGCAGTGAGTGTGCAGGAGACAACGTTAGGTAAGAACGCGGACTTCCAGGACCAAAAGATGTCAGCTCAAATCATAAGTGGGAAAGCAGTTTCAGCGTAAGTTTCAGATTTTATGCAGCACGTTTATTAATGCACAGATAGCCAAATAGGTGTAACCAGCATGAGGAAACGTGTCTTTGTACTGGCTAACTTGGCAGCTAACTAGCCACCTGAGTGGCAGCCACTTTATAGTTAAAGTTAACCTCACAAACAACTTCTCTGTACGATCCCAGCCATATGCACATTTTGCATGCAGCTGTTTATATTTCAAGACACTATTCTTGTCTGTGCTGGCAGCAGAAAACAATTTCATAACTTTGAATTGGTTGTGCATGATGTTGTCCACGTGAATGAAGTGTGCCAGCAGTTTGTACTGTTAGTTATGGATAGTTGAGAAATCACAGTGGACTGAACTTTCTGAAGTTGCATGATAATTCTTTCCCCCCTGACTATTGTGTGGATTAGTCTCTGTGTGTTTGCACTAAATGCACTAGTAACTGTTTATAATTTGGTGGTAGTCCATAATCATTGTAAACCTTGGAATGAATGATTTCAAATCCTGCTGCATTATGTAAGAAGCTGTGGTGGTGTGATATGATCTTTGTCCTATTGGTCCAGTGACCTTAAGTGGTGAGGCTGGAAAACTCATGAAACTAAACTTAGTCACCAAACTCTAAAAATCATTTTTTAAATTGTGCATTTGTCAGTATTTTAATACTTGAGTACAATCTACAAATGTGTTCCTTGTGATTTTCATAGTTCAAAGTTTGAATCAATCCAAATATTTGTTTATTACCAAAACGTTGGGCAAAGAGACAACAGAGTGCAGGACATTACGTTGCATGTGCTTGTCACAAGACATGACAGCCTGCACCTTGTTAACTCCCCCTCACATCACTCATTAGTTAAATTATTTTATGCAACACAAACGGGCCATACAGCCTCTCCACAGATCTGAAAGATGTACATTCATTATCTCTGAAGCCTGACAAAAGCTGTCACACCATGCATTGTTTGGAACAGGAGACCTTTTTGAACAGAGGTTTATTGATGAGATTATCTCCACCATTCAGGAAGTGTAGTTTTCTGCAACACTTTATCCAAAAGTGTGTTCTCTGATGAAGCCTGATTGACTTAGGAACAACAATTAAAACATTACAACAGTACTGTTTTATTATATGAATGTGCTTTGTTTATAGGAATATGGCCCTAGTTGATCAGTGACCAGGAACTAAGATATCCTGACATGCTGTGTTATCAGCTGTCATTGTGATGAGGATTGTTGTTATAATGATTATAATGGGAATATATATAATAAATAAATGTGTCATATGTTAAATAATGTAATAAAACCTTTAATTGTAGGTCTGTGTTATTGTTAGGTCATTAGGGCAAACGCACTCTTAGGTTACTTGAAAGGTGGTTCCAATTGGTGTCCCTCCACTGTGTCACGCATCCATAATCAATACTAGTCACTATCAATACAATCAATACTTCTATCAACACTGCCAATGAAGTGATGCACAAAGACACTGTTTTAAACACAATGATCAGTCTATATTTAGAGATTTGTGAGTAGCACTGCTCTTTTTATCATTCGCAGTGGACGATATCAATCAAGCTGGTGAGATTATGTGAATAGAATACAAAGGAAATTGAATCAGATTTGTTTAGAGAGACATGAAACATCTCAGACAATAGATAGCTATGAGTTAAAGTTCATTAACCCACTGTCACTCACTCTCTCTCTTTTGACTTTGATTCGTTGAGTTTGCTTTGCCTAATCTATGTGTTAGGGGAACAGATAAGCCATAACTGACATAACCAAACTATCGGACGAATAAAGATAAAGCCCAACAGATAAGAATCTCATTCCACCAAATGGACTCTTTGATGACTGGGCTTTGTATGTGCAGTCGACACTGATGGCTGCGGGTTGGAAAATGATTACCAATTTCACAATGAGATAGCCAGATGGCATGTATTTTGGCACAATATCTGTAACCATTACAAGGAAAGGGAATAGGTTGTGGGCCATATGGTCCTATCCCTTTCCTTTACAATGGTGCACCTGTCACTGCATAGAGATTAAAATCCAGTTGGGTTTTATTCTGTTGTCTTGTGCTCTCAGGCAGGTGAGGGAGCGTCTGAAGAAGGATGTGGAACAGATGAAGCTTCAGGACCCCAACTTCAGACCCGGTCTAGTGGTTTTACAGGTAACTGCAAGATAGGGACTAGCACAAGTTGAGGTATAAGCACATTTTTGGATTGTCTTGTGTGCTGTTTGATTTTGCCATGTCTTTTTCTCATGGCCTACGAGCAGGATTCATTCATACATGATCAACATGTGTGTCTGTATACCTGTAGAAGGTCTATTCCTTCATACAGGCAGGCAAAGTGATGCTGCTTGTCTTTGCAGGTTGGAGACCGCGATGATTCAAACCTGTACATCAGCATGAAGTTGAAGGCAGCAGCAGAGGTAAACATTTCATTTATTGACATACAATACAGTGTTTCCTCTAGGATTTTCTGGACAGCCCCAATAATCTCTGAAAAGTTCTACTTGTTGTTAAATTGCAATGTGAGCGGCAGCCAACAGGGGTGCATTATGTCGGCAGGATCATTTAAAAGGCAACCATGACTACATTGTGCGTCTGCCCCATTTCTGATACTGTGGCAGCAGAAATTTAACAGTGGTGAGCCGCCGCTCCAAAATCAACATAGAGGAAACACTGCAATATGTACTTCACATTTCTACTGTATACTGTTTGCAATTATTCCTAACTTCCAGCCCAATCTCTTCTTCTGTGTACACAGATTGGAATAAATGCCACACATATGAGACTTCCTAAGACTGCAACAGAGGAGGAGGTGAGAATAGATTTGAATTATTTGTGTAGTTCACTTTTTTTTTTTACGCACACCGTAAGAAACCCTGCAAATCTGTTTATGTTTTTAAAACTTCTCAATGCCGTAAGACAGGACTAAAGTTTGGGATGCCATAACAAAACAAGGTTAACACGGTTAATAACAAACTGGAAGTACCTGAGAGTATAAAGGATGTTTGTCTGTCTGTAGATTCTTCACAGTATCACAGAGGTGAACGAGAACTCATCTGTCCACGGTCTCATCGTGCAACTGCCCTTAGACTCGATCCACAAGATAGACACTGAGAAGGTCACCAATGCCGTGGCCCCAGAGAAGGATGTAGATGGGTAGGCACAGACATAAACTAAAGATCTGGGTGCTTATTACTCTTTGGAATGGACCTGAAGTGTTTCTTCGCTTCCTTCGAGTTTGGTTAAAAGAAATAAAAAATCTTCCTTACCGTTTACAGACTGACCAGCATAAATGCAGGGAAGCTGGCTCGTGGGGACTTGGGCGACTGCTTCCTCCCCTGTACACCAAATGGCTGCATGGAGTTGATCAGACAGACTGGTAAATGCAATTAATTCCCTAAAATATCTGTTACTAAGTAAAAAAAAAAAACATCAACAACATATATGACCAAGAACTGAATGAGGTCTTAATTAATTAATGGATCGACTGCTTTTCTACAGGTGTGTCTGTGGCAGGGAAGAGAGCGGTAGTGATTGGTCGCAGTAAGATTGTTGGCGCACCGATGCATGACCTGCTGCTGTGGAGCCATGCCACCGTCACCACCTGCCACTCTAAAACCACTGATCTTCCTGGAGAGGTACAACAGTAACGCCTCCACCCAACCCAGCAATACAGTCTCAGGATTATATTCCCATCAGCCATTATAGAGCATATAATGTGACTACTAGTGTTTGCTTGAAGGCAATCTTTCCCTTACCTCTTGATTGTTGCATGAAACTCCATAAACATGATCTCCGCTGTAATCTTGTGGCATAAACAATAACATCATGCGTTGCCAGATTTTGGACATTTCTATTAACCGTAATGAAATAAATGTCCACTAAGCCTAGCACCGTTGATACACATGCTTTTCTGTCCATCTGTCTTATGTCCATCGCTGTTTTTGTCCAGGTGGGCAAAGCAGACATCCTGGTTGTCGGCATTGGGAAAGCAGAGATGGTGAAAGGAGAGTGGATCAAGAAGGGAGCGGTGGTCATCGACTGTGGCATCAACCACGTTCCAGGTTGGACTCCTCCTGCATTCTTGTGGCTTTTCAGTCCACTTTGGAAATTAATCCATAGAAGTTAGAGGTAACTGAATGGTATTTTTCTGTGCGTGTTTCAGATGAGACTAAACCAAGTGGGAAGCGGGTAGTGGGTGATGTCCACTATGCCTCAGCCAAGGAGCAGGCCGGCTTCATCACCCCTGTGCCCGGCGGTGTGGGACCCATGACTGTGGCCATGCTGATGGCGGTAAGGTCCCTCTGGAGAGAGGATTGTTGGAAATGTAATATCAGACCAGCTGCATCAGAGTTAACATTTTGAATACATAATTAAATCTGCCATTTCAGTTATTTTGTCCCAATGTCCCAAGTTTTTATTTTTGTTTTCCAACTGTATACACTGTGTGTTTGTGTAGAACACAGTGTTAGGCGCAAAGCGTTTCCTGGAGAGCCATCAACCCGGGAAG